ACCTAATCTTATATGGTGGCTAATTAAATTCTCGAGGTCCTCCAAGGTCAATGAACCTATGCTCGCGGTATCAAATAGCATTTCCAAGAGCCTACAAGGTTAATGGTTTGCGGAGTCAAATTGCATGCTAGAGGTTATCAAAAGTCAAAGACCTCTTCATGTGGTGTCTAATTATACTCTGACGGTTATCCAATGTCAATGAACCCATTATTATTATAAAATTATTATTATAAAATTATATTTTCAAGGTCACCGGAGGTCAATGACCTCTTTTTCTATGTCGTGTCTCATTACATTATAAAAGAGAGTCAAAGCCAATGGTGTCTAATTACATTATCAAGGTCATCCAAAGACAATGATTCCATTTAGCGTGGTATCAAATTACGTTTTCAAGGCCATAGATGGGCAAAGACCTCATTTTTATGCGGTGTTTAATTACATTTTCGAGTCCATACAAGGTCCATTGACCCCTGCAGACATTGGTCGAAAATTCCAAGTCTTTCTGGTTACCCCAAACGGGGAATTAGCATCTTAAAGCTAAGTGGGATGACGACAAATCTCGCAACAGAAATGGTCACCAGCCACTGTCATTCGAACAAACACCTGCAGCAAATTAGACTAACCGACAGCCCGTTGTGCAGGGGTTGTGGCGAGGAAGAAGAAACACCACACCACGTCATTTTCCAATGTAAAGCACACACAAAGCAAGAGAACACCTTTTTGGAGAAGTCAAAATTAGAACGAGGGTTCGCCCTATCAAGATCGTGGACTTTGTTAAAGATACATTAGGTAGTCTTAAAGGGTAGACAATACCGGGGAGAACAATACACCAAAAGGTTGCAGGGCAGGAACCGACTGGGACCACCTCTAGTACTATGATAATAGTAATAATCATTCAGCTTATTTAGACTCTTCACATTCATCGAACCCTCAGTGCTTCGGGTGCTTCATGTGCTGCGCCATTTTTTGGAATTTTTCCATGTCGGTTTCTTTGACCCTTTTTGACCCTTCGATTGTCCTTCTGCCTTTCGCGTGTTTCAGATTTTTTTGAAATACCTAAATTTGTCCTTTATGACCTGTGAACTGATTTTAGAATGACTAAAGACACGGTTATGGTTCCTTCTCAGGATGGGGTAAGCAGAAATTTGAATTTTTCTGCTACTGTTGGTCCTTTACGTTTTTGTAGAATCACTTATATCAGACACTTGATATTCTTCAATTCGTTTTTCGTGTCAATTTCCTCAAATTTTCGAAAATTTCTTTAATTCCTTGGTAGCTGTTGTGTGCTTTTTTCGGATTTTCGCAATTTTGAGATGTATTTGATTTTTCCTCTTCGGGCTCTGGTTTCCTTGATTTCTTGAGCGCCATCAGCAATTTTGCATCAATGCGTATAGATCAACTATAGATCACCATAAACTTATCTATTACCAATTTTCATACCCATTATCTCAACTACCAGGAAATGACCAATTATCTCTAAAAGATAGAGGTGTCCTTATCTTGTTTATTTGAAAAGAGGGCGCTATAGTGCCAATATCGGTAAAACGTTGCGCAAAATCGATTAGTAATTACTCATTTGTGTACCTCTCGATAAGAAAATCGTACTTAAACTTGATCTTGCCTGTTTCTAAGTAAAGTAACACGATGAAAATTCAGCTGCTAGTTTTGATGATCTTTTGCTTCGCTTGGGTAATTTTCGCAAGTGATAAGTTTGGTAAGTATAAAGTATGTAGTGCAAAATAGGCTTAAATTATTTCCCCTACAGTTTGCCAGGAAGGGGTACCTTACAAAGAAAACAATTGTAACAGATGTTGGTGTCATAACGGCCACCTTGCGTGTCACTTGATGGGATGGTAAGCATGAACTTCAAGCTTTCTATTGACATCTTTAATTTCTAGCTTCGGTAAAGTCACAAAAGATCTAGAACGTTGTGTGCCAGGAACGAAGACTAAGACCAATTGTAATGACTGCGTATGCGTGAAGAATTTTGGGACACTTTGTACCAACTATAACTGTACAGAAGTGTAATTTCAAGTACAATATAATATCTAATACTCGTATATTGTTTAAACTATTGTGAACAAAATTAGAATTTTTTACCCGCTTGGTACCGCCGAAAAACTGATATTAAAGGCCGCTTGGCATAAATTCAAAATATACGCTACATAATGCAAGAATATTCAAGCTTTGCATTTTCCCTTTGTGGGTAACGTCTTTCGACACTCCATTTTTGAGATATTCCCAGTAAGTATCCTCCTCCGACACTCCGTTCTGCAGATATTGGCACTGAATATTTTAACATCATTGTCCGGCTATTTGTCTCGGTGGTAGAGCTTCGGGCTACATAGCCGGAAGGTTGGGTGTTCGAACCTGGGCTGAGGTAAGAATTTAGCTTCTCCTGCAGTTTTCCTAATTCGTAAGGGGTACTATAGAACAGCTTAAAAAAAGAATTATGTTATTAATAGATACATATCTTCCAAACGTACCAAACGGCATTTGTGAGTACCCTCCTCCGACACTTCGCTCTAGAGATATTAGAACCAATCACGTTAGGTGGTCGCGGAGGAAGACTGTGGTTGGTAGAACCTTTCGCTGAGACATTTCATGGAAGATAAAATAAATTTCTAACCCCCACTCCCTTCCCTCGTCACGTCATCACCTTAAAAAGGAGTCGCGGATGCAAGTTATAGTTTGTAGACACAAATTCCATTGATTAGAAAACCATGCGTGTTTACACGTTACAATTTCCTCGTGAGTACAAACAATACATTTGTAATAGTCTTGAAATGCATTACTATGTAATAGTTAAGTCATATTTATCACTCACAATTTATAACATAACACGAGAGGGAGCTTAATACTTCACTTCGAGTCGACGTTAGAACTGACACGAAACAATTCGATTTGCTTATACAGCAAACGCGGGTCTTTCTGGAAAGTTCTCGCTTCCGAATGCTCCCGAATATTCTAGAATACTCTCGAACCAACGTGTTCATCGCCGAATGTTGAAATATTGTACTTTCTCCCTAATGGGTTGTATCCTATTAGAGGTTTCCCTCGGGAGGTCTTGATCGATGGTTTTTGCCACCATCAGGCGCAAACGAGCATTAATACCATGTTTGTTTCATTTACTGCATAGTAATATTGATTGTAATTCTTCCTCAAACAATATCAAGCTCTTAGTTTCTTGCTAGAAGATCAACTACCTTTATTTTTATTTATCTATATTTAGTTGATATTAACTGTAATTCACTAAATGCAATAATTATGTAATTTTTTTTAAATTTTTTTAGTTAGAACTTGTTACAATTTTAATAACATTAATATTAATTATATTTTTGATATATATATTTCTATTTTATATGTGAACCGACCACTAAGCACATTAAGTTTGCAGTTTAATTTTGTTCTCAAGTTGGGTTTCTGTTGGAACAATAAACTATTATTATTAACAAACACGAAGTATTTCCCGGAAAAAGCGCGTCACATCCGCTTGCGTTTCTTATCGCCGATAACTAATCTCAACCAATTTAACAAAGTGCATTCTTTCGACCTTGCTATTCCCTCCCAACATACGCCCTGGCTCAAGCGATTTTCTAACATAATTTTTACAAAAAAACGTTTGAGTGTACAAATTTTTACTAATTCCGGGGATTCTCCATTTTTAGAAAAGAAATCTTAAATGTATAAATTGTTTAAACAATGACAATCGAACTTGGGTACAAATTAATCATAAACTCACAGTGTTTGAGGCGACCAATAAAATTTCAATCGGGAAAAGTGGGGGGGGGGCCATAGAGGCACTTCTGGGACTAGAGCCTTTAAGTTTCGCTGTGGAAGCAGATGCTTGGAAGGCTTCCAAACGGCTAAGCGATTGGGACGAGTGGAAGGATAGAAGCAGGCTTGGTCACAGGCGGATCTGAAAGGAAACTCTCAGGTTCGATCCCTTCCTCACAAGAAGGGATGTGATCCGGGCTATCCTAGTACGACCAAAGTGTTATAAGTCATTCTCTCGAATAGGGACCAGTGACTGAACTCCGATTGCCCGTTCCTCAAACCTGAGGGGCTCGTGTGGTTTACAGACGGGTCCCTAACAGAAAGGGGGTTCCGATCAACTCCTTCATTGAGAGGAACGGACTCTGAACCCAGTTGCGGGGGGTAGGCACAATGGGCCTCTAGTCCCCTAGGAATCGAAGGCCTTAAAAAATTACAGACCCCGATCATACCTAGCATGGAATGATTCCAAAGCAAACGTGAGAGTCGAAAAAAACTGTGGCGATAGAAGAATTCAGACAATTGGAGGTCAAGAACCTAAACAAGGTTCAATTTTGCAACGGAACCTTTTTTAAACCCCACGGTTGGGCGTCATTATGCAACGGGTTTGCATATTAAGGGTGTTGAAGAGGTTTTAACTAATATCATGAAACCCAAGCGCAAGCGTTTTGTAGTTGTGGACCTAGGGAATGCAATAGCGGGTTCCCGAAATACCGGGATCCCGCAGCATTTTTGCAGGATTAATCCCGTACGGAAACGGAGCGGGATTGCGAAATTTACCGACCATATTGTAGTGAATATTCTAGAAATCCAGATAGGCATGAAGGCGCCATAAAGGATTAGTCACCGGCGATATAAAAGGAAGGTGGTTGTGAGGCATTTTTTCCGAGAAATACGATGTGGTTTGTTCGAGAATATTCGATTAACCGCACAAAACTGCTTTATTTCTCAATATATTTAAATTTTGCGGAATCCCGCAAATACCGGATAGCATCCAACGATCCCGCAAATACCGGGATCGAAATTTTACTGCGGGATTGCATTCCCTAGTTGTGGGACTTTGTCGATTAACTTTAACCTAAACGGATCACCATATAAGCTCGCCTTTTCCTACTCAGAAAATAATGATCAATCCACTCTAGAGATAAGGATAACCCTAATTTGTTTATTTAAAAACTGGGCGCTGCAATATCAATATTGGTACAACGTTGCGCAAAGATGACTATTTTTCAATTGCGTACTTCACGTACTTAAATCCGATCTTGCCTATTTCTCAGCAAAGTAACACGATGAAAATTCGACTGCTAGTTTCGGTGGTTCTTTGTTTCGTTTGCGTCTTCGCAGATGATGAGTTTGGTAAGTCTGTATGAGAGAGATGGAGTTTACATTATTTTCTTCGTTCCAGTTTGCCAGGAAGGAGTCCCTTACAAAGAAAATAATTGTAACAGTTGTTGGTGTAGGAACGGTCGGCTTGCGTGCCACTTGATGGAATGGTGAGCTTGATTCTTGAGCTTTTTCTGGACGTAATTTTTTTAAATTTGTATTTAGTGGGTATGTTGAAGCTCTGGAAAAATGCGTGCCAGGAACGAAGACTAAGAACCATTGTAATGACTGCGTATGTGTAAAGAATTTGGGGACGCTTTGTACCACCTACGAATGTACGAGTGTGTAATTTCAAGTATAATATTCAATGAGTATAATATAGTACTCACAAATATTGTTTAAACTATTGTGCATTTTTTTGCGTGATGTTTCATTGTCTAATTCTAGGCCTCCTAACTAACATAATAGTAGAGAATTTGGACCTTTAATCTGCAAGGAACCAAAAAAACCCTAAACTATGAAGTAACTTAAAGCAATAAGCCTTAATTTTCAGACGTGAAGTAGTAAGACCGAAAGCCCGAGACCTGTATCCCGGATTCCGAAAGCTGGATACCTAGATTCCTGTATCTAGAAAGCTGCAGCATTATTAAACTTAAACTGCAGTATTGTCCTCAAGAAACCCACCTCGCAGTAATAGACCGGTAGATCTTGGACTGGTTGGAGAAGACCGTCCCTCTTATTAGGCTATGGGACGGCGCGTCTCTGAAAGTTCAGAGTGTGTTACACGGTGTACCTACCGGAGCTTAGGGTGGGTGCATAAAACCACAATGCCCAAAAACCCAAAACTGATTTTATTACCGGTCGTGAACAAGGAAAACACTTTTTCTTATTAATTTTGGAGCCTAGAATCCAAAACAATTCGTACCTTTTCGATTAGACTTCTCAATCAAAACCTATAGACTAGAAACCAATTTCGAAAGAAAATTCAAAGGACTGTAACTTTTGAACTAGTAGCCCAATCTTGGAACTGTTTGAAATAATGGGTTCTACAGGCACCATTCTATAAGAAAATGTTTTTTCCGGGTCGATCTGAGACAATTTTTTCTTCGGGCCTTAAAAAAGGCAGTGTATAGCCTTCCTTTTTTACCAATAATCGACTACACCAAAATTTCTCGGCAAAATACTTTTTCTTATTAATTTTGGGGCGTAGAATCCAAAACAATTCGTACTTTTTCGATTAGACTTCTCAATCAAAAGTTATAGACTAGAAACCAATTTCGGAAAAAAATTCAAAGGGCTGTAACTTTTGAACTAGTAGCCCAATCTTGGAACTGTTTGAAATTATGGATTCTACAGGCCATTTCTATAAGAAAATGTTTTTTCCGGGTCGATCTGAGACAATTTTCTTTTCGGGCCACAAAAAAGGCAGTGTATAACCTTCCTTTTTTACCAAAAATCGACTGCACCAAAATTTCTCGGGAAAACACTTTTTCTTATTAATTTTGGTGCGTAGAATCCAAAACAATTCGTACTTTTTCGATCAGACTTCTCAATCAATAGTTATGGACTAGAAACCAATTTCGAAAGAAAATTCAAAGGGCTGTAACTGTTGAACTCGTAGCCCAATCTTGGAACTGTTAGAAATTATGAATTCCACAGGCCACATTCTATAAGAAAATATTTTTTCCGGGTCGATATAAGACAATTTCTTTTTCGGGCCTCAAAAAAAGGCAGTGTATAACCTTCCTTTTTTACCAAAAAATCGACTACACATAAATTTCTCGGGAAAACACTTTTTCTTATTAATTTTGGTGCGTAGAATCCAAAACAATTCGTACTTTTTCGATTAGACTTTTCAATCAAAGGTTATGGACTATAACCACAGAATTTAGGGGTGGAACTAAATTGGGGTAGATACTAGCTGTTCGGTGCGAGCTTTCTAGCTTATCGAGCAGGTGGACTGAATTACATATTATTAAATTAGATGCGCGGTCTGTAATAAAATAAACTATAACGACTCTCAACGCGAAGTCACGAATGCGCGAAACTTGAAACCGAGACCACAAAAAATGTTCGGAAGGAATTAAGCGTGAGACTAAGCGAGAATTGCGTTGTGCAGTTAAGAAACTTAAATAAATCAACCACCGATCGATAGTATAGCAGAGAATTTCTCCTTATGGCGCTTAGGAGAGTAGTGATTATCGCATGGGAAATGCGCTAAAATTACTCGCTTCAGGACCAAAAACCAGTTACTCACGTTTTAATCTACCATTTCCTGGTTCTGTGGAACCGGTTTACAGATTTTTAATAAAAAAATAAAGAATATTACTTTGAATGTTCAATGTTCAGTATGTGAATTAGAAGCTTTCGTCAGAAGGGCCTAGTTCCCGGAGCCTTACTTTTGTTTTCCGTTCCAGCTAAGACTTTTGGGGTACCTCCAGAGCTTGAGCTATTTTTTAGGATTTAGGTGCTTGTGGTGGGACAACAGAACAACCTTGCCCACTCAAAAATAAGGGCAAAGAGAGAAACTTTATTTATTAAATAAATGCCTGCTTGTTATGGCAACAAGTGGCCTATCTTAAGACATAGGAGTATAAATGATTACAATGATATTTAAAAATAAATAAGATATGCTATGTAATGGATTTTATATTACTCGATTGGGCATTCGTGGTTAGTACAAATAGTACCCATACGCTTCACACACTCGCAATCGTTACAGCCAACCTTAGTCTTCGTACCGACCTCACATTTCTCTGGGTTCTCTCCATTCCCGTGCGGGCTATATAAAAGAGTTACATCGAAAGAAACTTGAAAAGGCATGCTTACCATGCCATCAGGGTGCAAGCGAGGTGTCCGCCGAAACAACTGCAGGAGTTACAGTTATTTTCCTTGTACGGCACCCCCTCCTGGCAAACTATAAGCGAAGTCTAAGATTCCCATTTTCTTATGCAAAGAAACTTACCAAACTCGCCATTTGCGAAGACGCAGGCAACACAAACGATGACCAAAACAAACAGTTGAACCTTCATCGTGCTACTTTGCTTTAGACATTTGGCGAACTGAGCTTTAAATACAATTCCCTTATCGCAAATGACAAACATAGATTAGCACTAGATTTTTGCTTAGAATTTTACCAATATTGATACTTGAACATGTAGATAAGTGAAGGTTGTCATTTTTTAGGTGTAAATATATATCTACTGACATTGGAATCATGTCGTCAGTAAACAATTTGTAAAAATAGGTCTTGAGGGCAAAACAAGGTTCTTGGTCAAATGACAGGTTGCTGACAAATAATTTGAAGCTTGAATGATGACGTTGGAACCTTGCAATCATGTCAAGACATACGCTTCACATCTTAAACCTTAAGAAGAAATCCGTGGAAGTTCCCCGACCTCACGCACTTTGAAAAGTAAAAATCTGAATGGCTCGATTCATCTTTTGAGACCTTTAAGACATGAATAAAATGTGCGCTTGAAGTTGCCTGGGGCCTAAAGTTTCCATTCAAGCTGAATCACCCGAATTCAATACTCTAACTAAACGTAACAGCGAACTCCCATGGTCGAGTGCCTGAGGTCCCTCTCTCTACACCTCCTCGATGATCCCATACTTCACGTTTTGCTCTTCCGCAATGAGTTAATTTATTTATTTATTTTTGGTCTTTGTTGATAAGTGGGTAGGGTTTCGGCCAAGGCTGCTCTACCAACCCAACCCACTATACTTTTACAAATATCCATGCCTGAGTCAGGATTCGAACCATAAACCCTTAGTACCGTAGTCGAGCTTTTTTGTATCTCTATCAGAAATTCTCTACGCCCTACCCCGACACCCCCTTTCCTTCATGCATCTTTCGCGACTACTATTTAACGTTAATTAATGCAACGCCGTTCTATTTTTATTCTCATGCCTTCCGCCTGTTTTACATCTTTTCCTTGTCGCGCTTTCTTTTTATATGCCCTTCCTGTACGACGGCTTTCTTTAACTATTTTTTCATTCGAATGTCGCTCTTTTCTTTGCATCTTTATTCTTCACCTTCCTCTCACTTCATCAGTAGGTACTTCTTGTTATGTTTTTTTTTTGCTTACGCATATTTCTCGCCTCTTTTCACTTATTTTCCGAAACTCCTCTATCCACATCTCTTTCATGGCTTCTTTCACAGGTCACGTCACCATGATTGAATGCTCGGATTCATTTCTTCACCCTTCAATTGTATCTTCTTGCTAACCATCTAGGTTTGTGTATACGTTAACGTCCCCATCCTTTCCTTGAGTACTTCTCTTTTTTCTTCACGGCGCCATTCCCGTACAATTGCAGGGTCCGCTCTTCTACGTAGCCGTCTTCGGTTCATGGCATCTTCGGGTGGGCGACAACTGCCCTCATATCCCCGCGGTCTGTTGCGGGATACGGCACAGGGCGATTGGTAGCGTGAGAAAGGTTAGTGGCGTCAGTCTGGCGGAAAATAAGGCGGAATTAATGGTTGTAAGTTTCTGATGAGCTGTATCCGTTTCGTGACGCAGTATTAAAACTCATTACTTGGGGTTCTTAACCACAGAATTTAGGGGTGGACGTCTCGCTGCTCGGTGCGAGCATTCTAGCTTATCGAGCAGGTGGACTGAATTACACATTATTAATGCAATTTGGTATATTCGCCGTATAAAATGCGACATCGTAACGATTACATTTTCTTTTAAATTTAATACTGATCACAATGAACCTTAATTCCATAGTACTCCCTTTCCTTGAGCACAATGTAGCAAATAAAATAAGAAAATGCCCGTGTAGATATGGGATGTCATCTAAACTACGGAAATAAGTCAACCATGTCGCATTTGGCTACTCCGTCATTGCACTCTCTAAAGAGAGCGGAAATCGGTACGTTTTGGGACCTGAACTAAAACCTGAAACGCTGCCCTGGTTTCTAAAGTAAATATGTGAACATCTATAACTTAGAATTGTCACATAAACCCTTTAGTCTGACGCCTGAAATTAACCCTTGAAGGTTTCAGCATATGTTAGAGTCAAACGTTTAGGGTTTAGTACAGACGACTTCGTATTTTGAACTTCCGACCCTTAAGCTTTAGGATACTACCCTTCAAGCTTCCTGTTTCTATATTAAATGCAAGGTCTCAAGTTAGTTTTTAGAATGTATGTATAACCCAGAACCTAAACTACTGTTATTACAGTTCAGAAATCAGTGTACTCTGAAGGGCTTTAGAGATCAGAGCCTCTGTTATGACATTTATCCACTTGCATGACCCTATATGGCCCTGGGGATAGATACCTTCATCGTGTTACTTTGCTTAGACCTTGGCGAGCTGCACTTTAAATAAAATTCGCTTATCGTAAGTTACACTAATAATAACATGTCATAATAATTAGCACAGTACCGATATTGATAATTTCGCAATAGGTAAACAGGTTAAGGTTATCACTTTTCCGTGTTGGCATTTGTTGTTTAAATGTATAGAGATACTAGGGGTTAAATTATATCTTTGGTATCATTTAATTCTTTTTTTTTAATTTTGACGCCTGCTTTCCATGACTTTCCCGTTTCTTTCTTCACATCTCATTCATTTCCACATCTCTGCTACTACTTATTTCCTTTCTCGATTTTCGGTTCTCTACGTTGCCTCTCCATCTAACAACTGATTCTTTCACCCCTTCACGCCTTGGTTTCACTGCTTTCACGCATTATTTACACCTTCCTGATACCTCTTTTATGATTACTTCATCCCTCCGTCTTAAAGGCGTCTTTTCTGCATATTCAATCACGCATATTTTAAGGTTATGTACCTAACCCACCCCTTTCGCTCTTTTTCGATACGTCTTTGATCATGATTTTTTTTAATGCGCCACTTTTCTTTAGGGATCCCTGTCTGCTTTTTGTTCATACTGTTATGAAAACTTCTTACCTGCTCACCATAACATCTATTCCACGTCCTCTTCACGCTTAGTTTCATCACGCCCTTTTCTTTTCGCGGTGCTCTTTAGTAGTTTCCGTAAATATCTCCTTCCCACACCCTTTTTAAGTCTTTTCTACTTTTCCATTATGTCACCCTCAGGCCTTCTCTCTTGCTTCTGGCCTTTTAAAGTTTCCTTAGGGTTCCGTTGTGCCCTTTTACACCTCATTTCTCCACTTCCTCTACCGTTACGTGCCCATTTTCCACACCATCTTCAAGCTTCCTCCGCGTCTCTTTATTGTTGCTTTCATCAATCACGTAAAAATGTATATTACAACGCGGCTCAATTAAACCAATTAAAGAGAAATCAATTTCTAGAACAATTTTTCCGATAATTTTCAATACAAATTTATTTATTTTATTTATTTATTTATTTATTCAAGTTCATGTTAGGGTGCAAAGCACTTACAATTGTCAAAAAAAGGTTTACATGTAAAAGTGTATATAACATGTCAAAAAAAGAACAAAGAAACAATAATACATTAACATTAAATCACACTACCATACATCTAACACGTTTGTAAGTTTCACATGATCCTCAAATTCGTCCAGGGTGTAAAAAGCATGTTCAGTTAGGAATTTTTAATTAATGCACTTGCTCAAAGAGAACCGATCGATATTTCTATACAAACCAAAAATCTTACGTTACCTTAATTATTCTGGAATGGATCGCTTCTCCATGGTACAAAACAGTACGTCCAAAGTGATGGAGCCTTAAAGCTGGGGAATATAGAACGGAACCTGAATCTCCCGAAAGATTACTGGATTGTCTATCTATAGTCTGCTATCAAACAGCTTTCCGTTTTCGCACTATAAGACCAAACAAATTTAATGCTAGACGGTACAACTGCATTAGTTTGTCACTTTTAACTTCCACTTTCGAATTATAATTTTTTATTGATCGATCCACTTCCGTATTAATAACTCTAGCGGTTCGATTAACTACAATCCTTTGAATTTTGTAGACTTACGGACGGTTTTTCACTAGTTTTTTTTTACTCTATGACGGCTCAAGATAAAATTGCTTTGATTACTGTCAATGAGCTAACTTGCTCCACCGGATTTTTACATGTAATTTATTATTTGATAACCGCAACGAGCTCTCTTCGACGGCTCAAGACGAATTCATAAAATTCCTTTCTCTTAGAAACAACTACCCCCCCCCCTTCCCAACAGGATTTGTAGTTTCGGATCAAGAACCTGCCATTTTAGTTCCCGTGGACTAAGCAAAATAAGACAATAGGAGATTACTTAAACAATTTATTGCATTTTATTTGACGTTACACCTCTTAGCATTTGCGGTTAGTACAAATGGTACCCATATTCTTCACGCATTCGCAGTCATTACAATCAACCTTAGTCTTTGTTCCGACCTCGCATTTGCGCAATTCTGCGGAACGCTCACCACTGCTAAGTATAAAAAAAATTAGATAGATAGAAATCTAGAAGAACATACATACCAGGCCATCAAAGTACACGCGAGGTGGCCATTATTACAGTTGCAGTTGTTACATTCATTTTCCTTGTAAGGCACTCCCTCCTGGCAAACTGTAAGCGAAGTCTAAGCTTCTCTTGTAAAATTCGCTTATTCACAAACACTTACCGAACTCGTCACTTGCGAAGGCGCAAGCGATGCAGAAGACGGCTAAAACGAGCAGTTGAACCTTCATCGTGTTACTTTGCTTGGACATTGGCGAACTGAGGTTTATATACAATTCCTTTATCGTAAATTGCACTAACAATGACATAATTAACGCCTGATCTTTACACAGCACTGTACCAACATTGATAATTAAGCAACAAACAAGTTAAGGTTATCATTTTTCCGGATTGCCATTTTTTGTGTAACTGAATAAAGATATAGGGGGTTAAATTATATCTTGGGTAAACAATTTGTAAAACAATAGGTGAAACTAGGCGGTGCAGTTTTGATGTAGGTAGATAAATGTTCAAAATACATTGACACAATACCCTGGCAGGTTTATCTTCTGACAAATAAGTTTGAAAACTGAAGGATATTTTCGGAACATTTAATCTTGAACCCTGTAGATAAAGATTTAAACGGTGAAGGGCTTAGCACTTATGCGCTTTGAGAAGTTTAGATAGTTCGATTAATCTTAATCTTAATTGAGAACGGGTCAGAAACCAGAGGTTCCTTCTACACTTTGTTTGGTGAGACGATTTAAACCCCACATGATTATTGATTGTCTTCTAGACCCTATCGAGAGATAACCTTTGGACAGTTAGATCATCCAATTCTTCTTTTCAATGCTGACGTCTGCTTTTCATGACCTTTCAGGTCCGTTCTTCACATGTCATTCATTTATACTTCTTCGCCACCCCTTCATCTCTGCTTCATTGTGTTTCCTTACACCCCGCTTACTTTTGCGGTTCTGTCAGATATTCGTTACTTCCGCTTTACACCTTCTTGAAGCTTCTTTCCAATCTCCTTCTCTTTTCATCTCTTAAGCCGTTTTCACGTAGTTATCACGCCGTCTTCATATATTTGTTAAGCTGGACTCATTTGTCTCTCATTTCTTTCAAGCTTCCTTTTCCCTTTTCCTCATGCACCATTCGCAATTGTTTCATGTTCATCGCGCGACTACTCCACATCACTCTCCTTAACGTCATTTCCCTTAACCTCCCCTCTTTTCTAATCCATATGACTCCTCGCATCCTTCTTTCACGCCTGCTGAAACTTACTTCGCGTCTATTCTATGACTATATTCCTTAAAGGTTTTTTTCTTTGCTCTTCAGTCTAGTCTCTGTGCGTCCTTCCTCAACTACCCGCTTCAATTTTTCTCCTCTCTTTGTTCCATACCTCCATCACCTTTCCCTAGCCTCCTTTCCGTATCATTTTTTTTAAGTTCACACTTCATTCTTTCCCCTTCACTTATATTTCCGACAGCTCCTGCCTTCACGTGAATCCTCTCCAAAACTATATTACGCCTTGTCCCGATTACCTTTTTTTAACGTTCTACTATATCATCCGCGCGAGTGGTTTTTCCTGACCGTTTCATCCATGTTTTGTTTACACATTCATACCCCATTCGAGACCCAATACCCTTCACCCCTTACCTTGAGCACTAGAGAGCAAAACAAAGACTAATACGCGTCAATACACGGGATTCCACCTTACAGAAATCAATCAGAAAAGATCCTGTCGCATCCTGGTATCCTGTCTTTGTACTCCCTAATGAAAGCGGAAGTTGAAACTTTGGGACCTTGTACCAAAGCACCTGTTTTGCGTCACGAAATCCACTAGATATAACGAACACACCCTTACAGGCGCTTCGTTACTAAAAGCCGTAACCTCTGGATACATTGACTTATCTTTCAAGAGTTGCGCAGAATAAATTGCGTTAATGTGTACCGCACAGTTACAACCGCTGATAGTAAAAAAAAAAAGCTACCGTTACAATTGATCAGTTTTGTAACCGTTCCCGTTTAAATTATCTTTGCCTCATCAGAAAGCTCTCGTTACTTGAAAGATGAGGGAAAATTTATTTATTATTCGCAATACAATGAAAAACCAAGATTAAAATGAGCCAGGTCGCCGAAGTGTAAGAAAATAAGGAAACCTTTTGCTTGCCATTTCCATCACACAATGGGTGGTTTTTTTCGAAATTTTAACCCAGTCAATTATAGGTAGGGATAATTACTTATAACTAATTAGAGGTGTTGCAGAAAACGGCGTCTGTTTGGAACGTGCTTAGTGTTATTTGAAACGCGCTTATTTATCTTGATGTTTGAGCCAGGTTCCAGGTTTTGTCACGTCGGGGAACCGAAAAATTAATTAATGAAGGATTTATTTTGGGGCAGTTTGTACGAGTTGGTTGTGATGGCTGCAAAATCCAGGTTTTCCATCCCGGATTTCCCGAATCTTATATAAGGTGACAGCGTTATGAAGGAGGGATCTTTTCATCTTTGATCGTTTGGGTTTAGTTGTTTTCAGTGGTCCAAAGACGTAATTATTACCGTACCCTTTGATTTTTAAAGTGTCTGTTTAATACCTTTATCGCCGTTTATTATATGAGGGGAGGGGTGTTTACTGTCCTCTGTTTTTATTCCCGTTCCCGCTTTGATAAAATGTGGATTTCCAAGGTATACGGCTACCGTATACTCATTCAATACCTGAGTGGCCGTTGCTCTGATTGATCCGTCGTCCTTGACCAGGAGCAAGGAGGAACAACTTTTACAACATAAACCCTTAGTCTGACACCTGAAATTTGACGCGCCGTTTACGAATGGAGCACATATTTTGGTTCTTAACATGAAGATCCAAACCATACAGATGTAAACCAGTTCAGACTGAAGCTTTCACAAATCCAGATAGAGAATTTCTGAGGTTTTAATGTAGAACTTCCAGGTTGTATGCAAGCAAGCCTCTTATACCTATAACCAAATTGAACTCATTTTTAGTGGTCGAACCGTCACTACAACATTCATTCAGGGAATGCCTAATTTTTGAAAAATTTGGCAGTTCTGAATACGAACATGACCGTACACTATCTTTATGAAGACAGTTTATGGCATGGAATTTCTTTTTTGAACTCTAAGTCCCACCACCACTAACAAAACTTTAATTTTCACGATGTAACTATTGGGTTATTAATAAAATTCACACTTGAACTCAACCTGGAACACCATGGTATTAAGGAAATTCGCGGTTTCCTTTGGTTCCACTAACTACCTACAACCCTTAAGATGTAGACTTGCGGGCGGTTTTTCACTAAATTTAAATACGATTTCTTTAACCTGACCTCTATGACGGGCCAAGACAAAATTGCTCTCCGATTACTCGCAATTAGCTAACTCGCTTTACCGCGGACCTTTCCGTAATTAATTACTTGTTACCTGCAATGGGCTTCTCGTCGACGGCTCAAAACAAATTCATTAATTTCCCCTGTCTTAGAAACAAACTAGTCCCTCACCTACCATCTTTCAATGCCAATTAGCTATTTTATTAACGCCCGGGTATGATTCAGTGCTATCTACTGTATTTTGTGTCAAGACCCTCAGCTTATCGCGCCAAAGTTTTGCTACCTAACTTTATCACGCAAATAAAAAATTCTATGACGCGTGCTACAAGAAATGAAAAAACGCGTAATTCATTTGGAAGATTATTGACTTAGAAGAAACTTAAAATAACCAAATTGTGAACTACTAACCGTCTAATAGAACCGCCTTTTCTAACACTGAGCTACTCAAACACAATTTTAAGTAAACAACCCCATTAAAGGTCCCAGGTTTTACCTACTTTTTCTAAATGAGTCCAAACGTAAGTATTTTATGTATTACAATTACAACCAATTAAAAAAAAATCAATTTCTAGATCAATTTTTCTGATTACTTTCAATACAAATTAATGCACTTGCTCAAAGAGAACCGATCGTTATTTCTCTACAAACCAAAAATCTTACGTTACCTTAATTATTTTGGAATGGATTGTTTCTCCATGGTACAAAACAGTAGGTCCGAAAGGATGGCGCCTTATAACAGGGCAATATAGAACGGAACCTGAATCTCCCGAAAAATTACTGGATTGTCTATCTATAGTCTGCTATCAAATTGCTTTCGGTTTTCGCACTATAAAACCGAACACGGTTAAACTGTATTAGTTTGTCACATTTAACTTCCGCTTTCAAATTATAATTTTTTATTGATCGATCTACTTCCGTATTAATAACTTTCGCGGTTCGATTAACTACAACCCTTCGAATTTCGTAGACTTATGGGCGATTTTTCAATAATTTCTTTTTACTCTATGACGGCTCAAGACAAAATTGCTGTCAATGAACTAACTTGCTCCATCGCGTTTTTACACAATTAATTATTTGATAACCGCGACGAGCTCTCTTTGACGGCTTAAGACGAATTCATCCACTCTTATAAACTACCCCCTCCCTCCGCCCTTTTTAAACAGGATTTGTAGTTTCGGTTTCGGATCAAGAACCTGACATTTGAGTACCAGTTATGGCATTCTTAGATCTTTGTGTAGGTGATGGCTTAACCAGAATAAAACAATAGGCTATTACTTAAACAATTTATTACGTTTTATTTGAAGTTACACCTCTTAGCATTTGCGGTTAGTACAAATGGTACCCATATTCTTCACGCATTCGCAGTCATTACAATCAACCTTAGTCTTTGTTCCGACCTCGCATTTGCGCAATTCTGCGGAACGCTCACCACTGCTAAGTATAAAAAAAATTAGATAGATAGAAATCTAGAAGAACATACATACCAGGCCATCAAAGTACACGCGAGGTGGCCATTATTACAGTTGCAGTTGTTACATTCATTTTCCTTGTAAGGCACTCCCTCCTGGCAAACTGTAAGCGAAGTCTAAGCTTCTCTTATAAAATTTGCTTATTCACAAACACTTACCGAACTCGTCACTTGCGAAGGCGCAGGCGATGCAGAAGACGGCCAAAACGAGCAGTTGAACCTTCATCGTGTTACTTTGCTTGGACATTGGCGAACTGAGGTTTATATACAATTCCTTTATCGTAAATTGCACTAACAATGACATAATTAACGCTTGATCTTTATACAGCACTGTACCAACATTGATAATTTGGCAAAAATCAAGTTAAGGTTATCATTTTTCTTCGAATTGCTACATTTCGTGCAAATAAGAGAGAGATATTGGAGGTTAAATTATATCATTAGTAAACAATTTGTGAAATAATAGGTGAAAATAGAGGGGTGCCGTTTTGATGTAGGTAGATCAGGTTTCACAACTTGAAGTCATGCCTCCAAGTCTGAACCACGTAACTAAAGACTTCAAACGTTCAATGGCTTAGGATTCTAGTTCCTTAAGTACCTTACAAGGTACGCCCCCGCCTTGAGGTATAATTAGATTGTTCGATTAATCTTAACAATAATAGTAGCACAGAGAGGAACGGGTTAGGAACCAAGGGTTCTTTTCACACTTCGTTGATTTAGAACCCACATGACTCGTGATGATCTTTCGGGCCCTATATCAGGAGATAACCTTTAAATCATTCGATGAACTTGACGTTAGTTCCAAAGAAAGGTTTCAGTAAACAGATTAGGAAGCGTACACTGTCAATGTCATTATCACTGACCACTAATTCTAAACATGCATCCGGCATTTATGGATGACTCTTGGTTCAGTCAACCAACAAAATACGCCCCAAAATCATTATTTACGCCTAAGACCTCAATTTGGTATTCATCAAGAATTTTGGCAGAAAGGTGCCAACATAGACATAAATTTTGTTGTGGTAACATCCAGCATTTTCGATTCCATGTGTTGTACATATTTTCTTTGTGTTTCTTCACTTCTGCTTTACACCTCTTCTTCCTTTCTCTCTTTTCATCTCTTCTCGCTTCAACGTAATCACGTCTACTTAATGTATTTAATAAGCTCGACTGTTTTCTTTCCCCATTTCTTCGCCTCTTCACCCTCCACATCATGTATATCCTTCCACCGATGAGAGGCGCCTCTACACTTTTTCCATAATGTACCAAAAAATGGTGACTCTGATATTGGAGGTATGTTAATCTCCCGGTTTGTGTGCCGGGGGAGGCTGTGCGGACGGGTCGAAAACGGGATTTATTTGAGCGCAGCAGAGGGGATGTTTAGTGAACCCCAAATAACCCCCCATTGAAAAAACTAACATGGCGCAAGCTCGGGCAACTTTTGGAATATGCAATTTCGCGCGTCAGCTATTGTACCTACAGCCGAATTAGCTTGATGTTCTAGTCGTGCTGACCATATGGACCGTGTGTGCCATCTTACGTCAACGATCAGCATTAGTTTGGCGAAATATAGAGTTGCTGCTTTTTTACCAAAAATCGACTGCATCAAAATTTCTCGGGAAAACACTTTTTCTTATTAATTTTGGGGCGTAGAATCCAAAACATTTCGTACTTTTTCGATCAGACTCCTCAATCAAAAGCTATAGACTAGAAACCAATTTCGAAAGAAAATTCAAAAGGCTGTAACTTTTGAACTAGTAGCCCAATCTTGGAACTGTTTGAAATTATCGATTCTACAGGCCACATTCTATAAGAAAATTTTTTTTCCGGGTCGATCTGAGACAATTTTTTTTTCGGGCCTCAAAAAAAGGCAGTGTAAAACCTTCCTTTTTTACCAAAAATCGACTGCACCAAAATTTCTCGGGAAAACACTTTTTCTTATTAATTTTGGTGCGTAGAATCCAAAACAATTGGTACTTTTTCGATCAGACTTCTCAATCAAAAGTTATAGACTAGAAACCAATTTCGAAAGAAAATTCAAAGGGCTGTAACTTTTGAACTAGAAGCCCAATCTTGGAACTGTTTGAAATTATGGATTCTACAGGCCACATTCTATAAGAAAAATTTTTTTCCGGGTCGATCTGAGAATTTTTTCTTCGGGCCTCAAAAAAAGGCAGTGTGTAACTTTCCTTTTTTACCAAAAATCGACTGCACCAAAATTTCTCGGGAAAACACTTTTATTAAAAAAAATTGCAAGGCTTTAAGGCTTCAGGGATTCAAGGCTTCACAGGTTCAGGGCTTCAAGGACTTCAGGGATTCAAGACTTCAGGGCTTCAAGGCTTCAAGGCTTCTAGATTTCAAGGTTTCACGGCCTCACGGCTTCAGGGCTCCAGGGCTTCAGGACTGAAGGGCTTCAGAGCTTCAGGGCTTCAAGGATTCAGGGATTCACGGCTTCAGCTGGTGTTCAAAGCTTCAAGGCTTCACGGCTTCAAAGCTTCACGGCTTCACGGTTTCAAGGCTTTAAGGCTTCAGGGATTCAAGGCTTCACAGGTTCAGGGCTTCAAGGACTTCAGGGATTCAAGACTTCAGGGCTTCAAGGCTTCAAGGCTTCTAGACATCAAGGCTTCTAGGTTTCACGGCCTCACGGCTTCAGGGCTCCAGGGCTTCAGGACTGAAGGGCTTCAGAGCTTCAGGGCTTCAAGGATTCAGGGATTCACGGCTTCAGCTGGTGTTCAAAGCTTCAAGGCTTCACGGCTTCAAAGCTTCACGGCTTCACGGTTTCAAGGCTTTAAGGCTTCAGGGATTCAAGGCTTCACAGGTTCAGGGCTTCAAGGACTTCAGGGATTCAAGACTTCAGGGCTTCAAGGCTTCAAGGCTTCTAGACTTCAAGGCTTCTAGGTTTCACGGCCTCCCGGCTTCAGGGCTCCAGGGCTTCAGGACTGAAGGGCTTCAGAACTTCAGGGCTTCAAGGATTCAGGGCTTCACGGCTTCAGCTGGTGTTCAAAGCTTCAAGGCTTCACGGCTTCAAAGCTTCACGGCTTCACGGTTTCAAGGCTTAATGGCTTCAGGGTTTCAGGGCTTCAAGGCTTAAAGGATTCAAGGCTTTAGGGCTTCCGGCTCCAAGGCTTCAATGCCTCAAGGCTTCAAGGCTTCAAAACTTCAAGGCTCTTCGGCTAGGGGTTTGCACCGTAAAATATACTCAAAGCTTCAAGGCTTCAAGACTTCAAGGTTTCAAGGACTCAAGGCTTCAAGGCGTCAATGTTTCAAGTGTTCAAGGCTTCAAAGCTTCTATGCTTCTCGGCTAGAGGTTTGCACCGTATACTCAAGACTTCGAGACTTCAAGATTTCAAGACTTCAAGACTCTAAGACTCTAAGACTCCAAGACTCCAAGACTCCAAGACTCCCAAGACCCCAAGACCCCAAGACCTCCAAAGATAATGAAAATTCCAAACTTTTAAATCTAAAATGCAACACGACTTGAAATTATTCAAAAGCTCACCTTTCAACATGTAGTCAACCCACCTTAACTTTAATCTGACGCGCTCGAGTATTTCGATTTTGTTGATACTATTCTGATGGGCTGCCCTAGACCCACGATCCAATATTAAGAGCTTATATGTGGTGGAGGCAGTCACTGTCCCCGCCTCCGGACCGTGCTTTTCTTTTACTGCACTAGTCGGAATGTAGATAAAATAATACTCTTCCCTCGATGATCTTGGTGATTTCTTTCGCAAGCAAGATCCAAATTTACTTGACAGCTTAGCGTCGTCCTTTACAGAAAAAGGAAAAATTGGTCTTATAATCAACACTCTCCTAACTTTGATTAACTTTTCTTTCAAATCTTGCACCCGGATTGTGTGTATATTACAATAACAACCTTTTACCACTCGAAGGCAATTCTAACTAGATCGTTAACGTATCCCCTTTTCGCTCGAAAATGAACGCTACTTGAACTTCTTTAAATCGCAATGGAAAAATATTCCTTCCGAATTTTATAGCTCTAGGGAACCACCGGAATTATTACTGCTTTTGGCCGTTTGGTTTTTACTTATAATTTTTAATAACTTAATCAAACGCAAAATTGCTAATTGCTACTCAATATTGACCTGTTAAAAACTAAATTGGCTATTGTAACCACTCCCCTCGGACCAAAAACGTGTTAAGAGTCATTAATAAGTCCTATCCATGTTCCTGAACAGCTGAATCGGCGGATTTTTTTCTAGCGAGCTATTCTCGACTAAGAATTGTAATCATATCTTGCTTCTAAAAAGGACGTAACTTGAACTCTGCTCCCCCAAACTTGACGCCAAAATTAATTAAAGGACAAAAAGCGCACTGACGGTGGAAATGACGCACATTACATTCAGATCAAATTCTTTATATTCTTATGGTAAAAATAGGGAAACCTTAACCTTAAGACCGTAGCTCAAAATTCTAAATTAATAACCTTATAATTCGCTTGTAAAAGGTAACGCACCCTCAGTTTGTGAAGCGCTGTATTATGCAACATTTACCCCCGTAAACGAAGCTTGGTACTGTCTAGGGTACTTTTACAGTTAACTACAGTAATAAGTGGAAAGCAAAACTCACGTGTTTGTTTTGTTTCGGAATATTCGATGAGAAAGTAAGAAGTTAAACGACATATAATTTTAACTTTGTTGAAACGTTTCATTTTCAAAGTGAATCCCGCGAAAAGGGTATACTTAGCTGTTAACAGTGAAATCCAAAACAACCCTAAATAAATAATAAAGTGTACGAAGGAACGTAGTTCTTGAATAAAATATTTAACGTGTACACTTTACGACCCACTTTAAATCAGTCTGCTCCGCACCCCTATCGGCGAGAAAACAATAAAAAAATAAAAAGGAATCAAAGGAAACTTAATTTTCCGCCATCTTAGTTTTGCTGAGAGTGCGACAAATTATTCGCTTTCTAATGCAGATGCACGCGTCTCTTCGAGACATTCCTGGACCCTCCTGAGATTTGCATGAAAAATGGGGGAAAAATGAATTACGACATCACAATTAAATTAACTTCATTAAAAAAACATGAAATGACAAATAATTATTATGCAAACGAAGTCCGATAATGACAAAAACCGGAAACAATACGACGGCGCGGCGTTAAGGGTGGGAAAGCAATTAAATTTATCCTGAATGTTTTTAGACGGGGAACGGAAAAATGTGTGTGCTGCAGTCAATTATAAATTGTACAATTTCGGAAATTACGCGCAACAAAGGAATCTCTCCTGGAACAGCTGTAGAGTGTCAGTCAACATCAAGACGGAGTGATTCATTACGCTTAAACCGAGACAGAGATGGCGCACCGGTATGTC